CATATATATATATATATATATGGTTCTAAATCTGATACATATACAATATTTTTAAAGTAACCTAAATCTGAACAGTTGTTGTATTTCATTCAACTTATACGTCAGTCAGGTACGCATCGATCCAAATCTAAATAATAATGATACCAACCTCGTGCAGTTTAAGTCTTGAAACGTGCATGTTTTCAACTACAGAACAGAACTGTCTTTTTCTTTTAATTTGCCATGTTCTGGATGACTGAAAATCAACAGCAACATATGTTACTAACTTTAACATTGGACTGTGTTGATACTAACATGGCGGGATCGATACTTGAGTTTTTTCTTCCTTCACTTCGTTGCTCCTGTTCCAAAAATACAATGCTGTGCTGGAGGAGCCATCACGAAGCAAGATTAAATGTAAACACAGGACCAAACAAGCCAGTAGTGTTTGCTGCATGTTTTTTTGCTGCTTTTATTGTGTGGTTTAGGTCCGAGCAAGCGCTCTGATTGGTCATCAGCCCTTTCTGAGGTGGAATAAAACTAATTCCTGTATGGAAATGTGTGTATTAATGTAATACGTTGTTGGCTGGATAGAATACGTTTATGTGACAAAAATGGCCAGCTGACAATCGCTGGTCGACACAGAGCTCTAATTTCAATTGTTTCTATGGAGCGGCTCTGGCTCACTGCATAGAGGTTGTCCTACATTTGAAAAGATCAGCCCATCCCCAGTGACTTCACATATCCTTGGGCAAGACTTTGATCTCTCACATTGTCTCCAATATCCTTACAAGTGTGTGGTTGTACAGAAATATTCATGCATGTATACAACTGAGGGGGAAATATAAGAAGGGCTTTATGAATGTTTGACGAGAAAAACATCATGAAGTGTTGGTCATGCATGGCGTTATAGGCAGTAGCATCCTGATGCATGCACAATAATCCATGTAGATGAATCTAACAAAGTTGGGTCAGGTCCTCTAAACGGATTCTTCTTTCTTGAAATGTTTCATCTTTTATCCAAAAGACTTCTTCTGTCGGAGGAGATGCAACAAACTCAGTCTTATAAACAGCACCTTCTCATAGTGGATCAACCAGTTTGCTGGACAGCCAAAAACCTAGTTGTTCACATGCAGAGGACCATCAGCCTAGCAGCTATCGTTTGTGTCCTGATGGCTGCTTGCTATTCACAGAGGGCTGAGTGAGACTCACTCAATAACAGCATTATGAGAGGGGAACAACTGGACACGTAGACCTCTGCCCCTGTTTAACAAAGTACAGGTTCTCTTCACAAAGATGACTGCACTCCTCTCTTGGACCAACTTTCCTTTATATCAAGCAGATCAGTATCAGGGATGAAGATGTGCACAGGAACATTGGTTCGAGAGAAGAGTAAGCCATCTTCCAAAATCTTCAGTTTGTTTCCACTATGGGAGTGTGCTGTTTGTGGGACTCAGTTTGTTTGATCTTTAAATCACTTCTTGGTCTGCTGCCTTCATACATCTCCTCCTACATGTCTCTGCGTGAGTGCAGCTACAGCGTGCGCTCTCAGGACATTATTACCTGCAGTGTTCCCTCAGTGCGGACTGAACTTGGAAAAAGGGCCTTCTCCTACTCCGCTCCTGTTTCATGGAATATCTTACAAAAAGATCTGAAGCTCTCAACGTTGACCTCTCTAAGTGGCTTTAAGAATCTGTTGGACTCCTGGCAGGGACCAATGCAGACATGTCCCTGGTTTTAGTTTTCTACATTGGCCTTATAATCTAGATGTTGTTTGTTACTTTTTTTAGCCATCCTATTTATAAAAAAATTAAAAAAAATCTTTATGCCTTTTTAACACTGTTTATTGTTGTCGCTGTTGTCCATTGTTTTCATCGTTTGTTGAAATCAGGTCTCTCTTGTAAATGAGTCCTCGAGGCTCAATGGGGTTTACCTGTCTAAGTAAAGGTTGAATGAATGTTGGTGGCTTCTCAGATTAAAGAAGTCCTTTGTATGAAGGATGAAATGTCTCAGCAAAAAAAAAAAAAAAGTCCAGAGGATCTGACTGAACATTGTTGGAAGTCGTCTTTGTGACAAGAACCCATCCATTGTTAAATAGGGCAGAGACCTTTGTGTCCAATTGCCCACTCTTATTATGCTGGTGATGTGAATATCACTCAGTCCTCTGTAAATAGCAAGTGGCCATCAAGGCACTAATGATCAGTATTTAGGCTTGCAGCTCTTCAGACTGAATAAGTCTTTTGTACAAAAGATGCAACGTTCCAACAATGAAGAATCTGTCCAGAGGCCCTGACTCAACCTTATCAGATTTATACAGTAACTTTGAATCATTCATATTTTATCCGTTCCCCAATCCTACATTTTCCTAAATTTGTCTCATTTGGATTGTCATGTTGTTATGTCTTTGACCCTGTTGTCTAATATGTAAACATAGACATTTTCCTGTTAATCTAGTGAGCGTTATGTAGTTTAAGTAGTCTTCAGAAAACTTTATGAATATATATATATATATATATATGTATATGTATGTATATGTATATGTGTGTGTGTGTTTGTATTAAGGGCCCCAATTTCCTTAATTATGGGAGATAGGCAATGGCCGATACTTACATGGGAAACTGATTTTACCATTTGTTGTTGTTTTTTTTTGTAGTTTTAACAATTTTCTAAACTAGGGCTGAAACGATTCCTCGAATAATTCGAGGACCTCGATTACAAAAAAATCCTTGAGGCAAATTGATCTGCCTCGAAGCTTCGTTAAACTATTCAGGGCACCGTGGTCTAGCCGGAAGGTTTTTGTGTTACACAACACTGGAGCTTCCGCTACCGCTTTTGTGCTAACTTTGTAGCTGTGGAGGGAAACAGAAAATGTTTATTTGAAGAGCCCTGAAAACAACAAAAACTGTCAAAAGTTTGGGAACATTTTAGGCTAGACAGAAAAGACAACACTGCGCAATGCTTCCACTGCAAAGCAGAACTGAAGTAACCACACGTCATCGATGTTGCAGCGTCTGAAGGGAAAACACTCGCTGTAGCATCAAACTCGTCCGCAGCTGCAACAGGTATCATTTATGTTCTCATAGCAAAATTCATGAACCTAAATGTGTGATAATCTGTCATGTTAAATGAGGCATATTTTTGCTAACGTTACATCTACTGACTCATCATAGTGGCTACCTGGCAGGGTGTTATCTGTAAGTTCTGTGAGGGGAAAAAAACCCTCTGCAGGACTTGATGCAAGTTTGTTAACGATGAAAGCAGCAACAGACTGACACATTTATTTATAGCTGTACTTCCATCCTAACTAAAATGAGATGCTTAGGATGAATATTTAAAGTGTAAATGTATTTACACCAGTTAGTAGGATTTTTTTCTTCTTGCTACTGCTGTTTATGACTTAAACTGGGATTAATCTGCATTTATTACTACCGTCATATTTGTTTATAGCTAAGCAACCAAGACTAAACAGTCTGCAGAACTCAATGTACAAACTCAAACTTTTACATTGTCTATCTTACTTATTCAATTTCTAACAGATTCCATTCAGTTTTCCAATACATAACAATTATTTTACAGCATTTAGATTTTTCTGTGATGGAATAAAAGTCATTCAGTGACATGGTGGTTTTATTTAAAGCATCCTCAAACCTCACACATAAATAAAAGCATAAATCAAAAACGACTGACATGCTAATGTTACCTTGATTGCAGCAGGTCATCAGAAAGTGTAGATTACCCCTTAACAATATTAAATATTTTTATAATATCCAGTGAAGAACACTTGGAAATGTATTAAGGCATAACAATGAACAAACAAATGATAATTTTATTGTACTTCTTTTCAGTGAATGGCAGAGCCATACGTTGGACAGCTTCGTAGAAAGGGCTCCAGGATGTTGGGTTGTGCACGCAGCTGAGTTCACAAACAGCATGTTAAATATGATCATCGCAGACATGCAGTCGCTGTCCGTGGTGGAAGATGAAGGCTTCCAGAAGATAATCTCCACCTTCAATCCAAATTATGTCCTTCCTCCCAGATCCTACTTTGTAAATTCCATTCAGTTTTCCAATCCATAAAAATTATTTTACAGCATTTAGATTTGTATGTGATGGTTAAAAATAATTCAATTGAAGCAATAAAATATTTTTAAAAGAGGAATTAAATGAGTTGTTTATTTAATTTTCTTTATTCGTTTAACTGTATTACTCATAAAATGAATACGGTAGTTACTGCAGAACCTGACTAATTTTGTTTTCCATTACTCCATTAATCGCCAGAATAATCTATAGATTACTCGAATACTAAAAGTATATTTTACAACATCCCTAGTCTAAACTTAATTTATATTTCAGAGCACTACCTCATGGCCAGTTAAAACAAGTTTGTATTGTTTCTAGATTGGAATATTGAAGGTGCGTTATGACCTTAGTGTCACTTATAAAACAAAATCAGTATTGGCCAAAATTAGAATTGGCAGGTCAGACTCTTTAGAGATTGTTGATCGACCAGAAAACTGCAATTGGTGCACCCCTAAAATTTACGTACAGTAATCCCTCGCTACTTGTGGTTCATTTATCACGGGCTCTCTACCGCGGTTTTTCAAAAAAAGATTGGACATGACACACAATAGGCTGATTGTTGGATGAGCCGCAGGATCAGCATGTAATGTTTATATAAAATAAATTATTTTAAAGTATTTAGCACCTGCTGCACATTTGTACAGCCCAGAGCTGCAGAAAAAGCTGCTCCTGCACCTTAAAGTTCCTGCTGTAGCTGATCAGCTGATCAGCTGCTCAGCGTGCAGAGCTGAGAAATGGGCGTGGCCAAGAGTGCTTGCAGGTGGCAAAGAGCAGAGGAGGCAGGGAGCTGAAATTCTGACATTCTGTGATCTTTTAAAGCTTTAGAGTAATATATATATATATATGTATATATATATATATATATACACACAGCATATATATGTATTTGTATATATACTTGTATACTAAATAATTCTGCCGTCTTGTCCTAACATATCCACTTTGATAGTACCCATTGTAGTTGGTCTTTTCAGGAAAAGAATGTAAAAATGCTCCAATTCATGCAGCCTGTTGAACAAGTCCACAAAAACATTCTAAGAGTCCTTGTGTCTTTTTTTTTCCTTCACATTGCATTTTAATAAAATGTTTGCTAGCAACTGGCTTAAATCATTTGCGACACATACATCAATCAGGCAAGATTCAAGTGTCAGTTCTTGAATTTAAAAACCAAATTACCCTCATTACCCATCATTTACCCACTCCTGGTGAGCACAATTTCAATCATCAGCTCACACTGTGCTAATTGTAATTATGGGGTGGATTCAATTTATTCAAATTGCCAAGGAGGCTGGTTGGCATGATTCTAGTCTTTACTTAATTCAAGGACTCGTTCCTTCTGTGACTTCTTACTTGGCTAAATTGTGATTTCTTCATTTAATCATCATCATCGTGAACTGAACAATGGTGAAAGGACTCAGGCATAGAGCATGTTTAGCCTTTTTACAATGTTAGCATTGACTTCTTCATTGCCCATCCATTGTGTCTGTGAAATGAAAGCTGCTTTTTCAGTCTGTGTTGATGCAGCCGTAACATTAGTAGAGCTCTCCCTGCAGCTCATCTCTATCAGATGCAGCATGACAGTTTTGACAAGTAAATCTTTTTCTTGTTGTGTCACTCCTTTCATTCCTGAATGGAAGTGGATGAGAATTATGCATCTGTCTGTAGGGGTGGGGAAGTTTCTTTCAACTTAACAGAAAAAAATAAAATAAAACCTTGACTGGTCTGATGTTGTACTAGTAATGACATGAAACACACAAATTAACATTTTGGCTCAATCGTATTTCTTACTTTTAGATTTTGAGTGCTCTTTTGTCTCTTAATTTTAATGTAAAGTGGTCAAAATGTTCCACTGCAAGATGGAACGCCCTATATTGAAGAAGATGCACAATCAGATATTGCAATTGTCTTTTGTGTAAACAGACAATATGTGTTTTTATCATAGTTTTAACATGTCAATCAACTGGATATCTAGTTTTTGACAGAGACTGATACGTGATTTTATTTTATTTTTTTTACGTTTTTAAGGAAAATCAACAATATTTCCTAAGGAAAATCATTACTGTTGCCGAGTGGTGGGCACGGTTCTGCTTATTTGCTAACAGCTAATAGCGGAACTAACTTTGTTTAGTGGATTAGCCTTTTTGCTAACTTCGGAAACTGTTAGTAGATCAATTAGTTTCCACTAAATTGTATTCAGGTAAATTTGAGTCCACTCACTTTTTATCAAGACCTCTCTCCACCCCCCCCCCACCCCCCCCACCCCCCACACACACACACAGTTTAAAAAGAAAACTGAAAAAATTGCTGTAATGCCACTTGGTTGTTGATATGTACTGTTGATTATCCATGATGCTGATCTCATGCTGCTGATTATTTCATGTTGCTGTGTTCATTAGTCCTCATCTGCTCACACAGACTCATGTTCGTGCTGCTGTTGTTTTTGTACTATTAGTGCTTAGTGTGTTCTTAGTTTTGTGTATTCTTAGTTGAGTGAATCTACTATATTCTTAGTTCATGACTCGGATCTTACTAATGTTTTTTTTTCTTTCTTTTCTGTATTTTTGTTGGATGTAACTGGGACCTTGTGTACATAGTTCCGTTCCACCTCATGTACCACATGTGATGAGAATGACAATAAAAATCCTTGTATCCTTGTAGGTATAATAGTATTTTAACCACTACATAAAATAAAGGGCTAAAGGGTAGAGTTGAGTGTAACACTAAGAAAAGGGTTATGGCCTGAGGATAAGATTGATGAAGTTGTAGCCAGAGAAGAAACAACATGTTTGGGTGTATTTGTTAGAAATATAGTCACACTCTGTGTTTTAGCTCAGTTCGACACTCAAAACAACTTGAGCCAAACTATAGATGATGGGAGGGCACAGTGAGGCCAAAATATAAGCATTTCTCTTCCCGGGTATCATATTGTCCATTATTCCACATCTGAAACTGTAGCAGCCAACACAAAGGGGAGAAACTCAACAAAAAAACTATTCTTTCTACAACAATCTCACTGACACTGTGTTGCATAGGGGTTAACAGAATACAATATATTATAATCTCTATTTTATGAACACCACCAAAATGAACACATAAGCATTTGTTAATTTCTATGCACAGATGCCAGCAAGCTACTTGAATAATAGTTTTTTTATAATCCTGTGCACCTGCAACAAAAGGATGAACAGCATGTCAAGTGGCAAGCCTGCTGGTTCACTCCTGGGTCCTTTCTTGTCTAAGTCCCTCAAAGCAGAAATTACAAACCAGGGGATAAATAGATCTGCTGAAGAGGGTGATGTAGCACCGTAATGATGAAGATCCACTCTAGATGGCATTTGCTCCATCCTTGACTCGTGCCACTTATCCCCTGGCACTTTGTGTGTAGCTGAGAAATCAAAGCCTCATTTGTTGCATTTGTGTCGCTCTTTTCAGGATTATCAAGGGCCAGGGCATCGACATCAAGAACCTCAGCTCTAGATCGGTTCTTACAGTGACCAACATGACAGAAGATCATTACGGGAATTACACATGCGTCGTCACCAACGAGCTAGGAACAGCTAATGCCAGTGGGCCTCTTATTCGTAAGTTCTCCTACATTTTCATGACTAAGTGATAAATATCAAATTAATGAATGTGTTGGTGGTGTCATTGGATGTTTGTACCCCTGCTGGTGTTTTTTCATATATATTTTAGTGCAACAGAACTAGATCCAATGCAGCACCTTGGTGGAATTATTTTTTTTTTTTTCCTCAACAATTTTGTAAACTTATTTCTTGCTATGGTTGCAGAGTCAATTGTGTGGCTGTGTGGGTCTTTGTGTCTGCTTCTAAAGTCTTTATGCGTGTGTGCACTAGGTGAAAACACCAACTGAAAATGAATATTAGCTTTAAAGTAATGAAATCATAATTACAACCACAGCTGCACAGGTTAGTAATGGCAGGCCGAGTGTCAAATAAGATTATGCAGCTTTTAAAGCGGTCTGAGACTCAGCCCTTTTATAATTTTCAAAGCTCGCTAAGTTCAAAAGAGGCCAAAACATCAGAAGCCAAACTGTGAGTGCATCAGTGATGCACTGCACAATTATTTATTGTTGGTTATAGCATCACTCTTGAAAAACATGTCCATAAAAAATGCCCATAAAATGCCGACTTAACATAATTTTGAAGAGTTTTATGGTTTATTATATGGCAAAGCACTGCACAGCAGACTTGAGACATCATATCACAAGTAAGAATGTTGTCTCAAGGCGTTTATTTAATCTTTTATTGTGACAGCTGTGAATCTAACGGAACTTCTGTTTTGTTTTAACAAAATCATTTAAAAGCTTTCTCATATTTGAATGGTTTTGTTTTGACACACTAATGACATATTCCATTGCAGTTTTAACGTTTTCATTCTTTTCTGAAGAGGTTTTTACTACATCATTTCTAAGCTTTTTTTTTTTTTTATGCAGTTGTGTGTTCTACCTAAACATTTCCTCAGACCCCTCCAGTGAAGGCTTGTAACAGGGTGCTGTGGTGGAGCCATAAACCAGGCTTTGTTGTTTCTCTGCAGACCAATAGAAGTCAAAACAACTACAATCTAATGGATTCTGGACATTGTAGAGAAAGTGAAGAACATAAAAGTGGATCAAAACCTCAAGGGATGGAAAAACCTGGATTAACTTACATTCTGAAAAAAAACACTTAAATGTAGGTTCTTTCATTTGAAATCCTGGCAAAGGTAATCCTAGAACAACATGCAGGAGGAGGTAAGAACATGTGGTTGAGATTTACTGTGTTTTAGAGGAGTTATAAAAAAACATTATTAGACAGCAGATGTTCTCAAATGCTACAAACATGTACACTACCATTTTTTTTTTACTTCATAATGTAGTCAAAGGTTTACTGAATTTAGCAGATGGATGCAAAAGGCAAGTTTCATTATGCCTGTTCTGATTAGTCATCATGCTCTTACAGCAGATGTGGGCAACTTAAGGCCCGAGGGCCAAAAGTGGCCATTGGACAATCTCCATCAGGCCCCCAATTACCTTAGTCTAAAATAAATAAAATGCAACTTTTGCAAAAAAAAAAAAAAAAGAAGATTGTTTTTTTAAAAAAAAAGCAATTTATCAACGATATTTAAAGACATTAAATTAAACATCTTGCACAAATTTGTTTTCTATACATATTTTAAGTCATCGTGTTTCCATCACTAGACTGAACCTTAAAAACTTAGAATCACAAACATATAAGTGTGTTTTGCATATTTCCGCTTACGTTTATAACATGTTAAGCTAATGTGTATAACATGTTAAGCTAATGTGTATAACATGTTAAGCTAATGTGTATAACATGTTAAGCTAATGTGTATATCTTGTTAAGCTAATGTGTATAACATGTTAAGCTAACATGTATAACATGTTAAGCTAATGTGTATAACATGTTAAGCTAATGTGTATATCTTGTTAAGCTAATGTGTATAACATGTTAAGCTAACGTGTATAACATGTTAAGCTAACATGTATAACATGTTAAGCTAACGTGTATAACATGTTAAGATAATGTGTATAACATGTTAAGCTAATGTTTAGGACATATTTTCACAAGACCCAGTTTATAGAATATGTCTTATATTCCTAAAAGATATGGGAAATACATGTTTTATAAAGCATGCTAACTATGCTACAATAACAAAGAGGCTAAAAAATGTTCTAGATTATCTGTCATAAAGATTATTTATTTTCCAGTTTTTTTATGCGGCCCTTTAATTGCTTTAAACGTCTTGATGGGACCGTTTGGAAATATAAAGTGTTGCCCATCTCTGTCTTACATTGTCATCATTTCAGTAGCTGATTGTAGTTATTAATCATCAAATCAAAGGAATCACTGGTCTAACAGTTTAGGCCAGGGGCATGAATAGAGGTAGGTTTTACCATTAAAAAGTGCCATTGAATTAGAGATTACACTGATAAACCATTTTGAAAAGAAATATCAAACTTATACATCTCTCGACTTAACAAACCTCGAGGTGTGTACAAACTTTAACAAGTCAAAGTTGATTAACCAGTGAGCCAAACGTGGGTGGGGAGGGTTGGAGCTGAAGCACGTTGAGCTGTCATAATTCCATCTGGAGCAGCAATTCATCCGTTGATCCTAGCTGTCACTGGAGAAAGTGTGTAAAACCGCCAGGTGTAAAGTGGTCACTGCTGAGGACAGGTGTTGGTGGTGGAACCTCAGCTTTTCCATCAATGTGCCTCTGCACAAAATCAATGCAGCGAGCATAACCCCAATAGCCCTGATTCTCTGAGTTTTTGCACAGTCTCCCAAAGCCGACATGACAAGCTCTTCAACTTGGCACTTTAATCCAGCAAGCGTACTGTAATTCAAGTCCTGGAGTTTCCTCGCTGAACATCGACAGCACAGCACCTCAGATTATCCCAGCTCATCATCTTTCCTCACTTTTGCAATTTAGATAAAAAGCTTGAGTTGCTTTGCAAATTGTAATAACATAAGCAAATACCTTCACAGGACTGGGCCATCCTTACTATTATCACTCATTAGGCCAGGGTTTCTGACGTGTTAAAAAAATTCTGTTGGTGCTTTTAATTAAGAAATACTGTGTTTGAATGCAAAGTTTAATTTTTCCTCACAGACCTAGAAAAACACACACTTAAAAAGACTGAAATCCTTCATCATGTCCCTGAAACAGATATAATAAGTTGGTTACTCATTAAATGGCATGAGATGCACGTGGTCTTAAGACTCTGCAGCAGATGATTAAGTGTTAGAACATCATCAACACCCATCCTTAGAAATCTATGAGACACAGTCATGGTCCTAATGTGGAAACCCCTCATCCACAGCCTGATGTCTCCTCTGAGACAATTTTCTGGGCTTCCAGGTGAGTAACGTAACGTACACCCAGGGCTAGTCTTAGAATACAAATATAATTTAAAAAGCTAGTGAAAAGATAAATTCTAGCATCCTGAATATCTAATCAAGCAGGATAAATGATTTCTTTTGGTTCACATCTAAAGAACATGTTCGACAACAAGCAGTTCCGAGGTTGTTGTTTTTTTATTTCTTTTGGGATGCACAGACATCCCCTATGTGCTCACTACTAAACAAATCATAAAACAGTTTGATGATTCCTTTTAACAAACATCTTTAAATCTGCTTTAACTCGTTCAGTCCTGAAAAAATGAGCCAACTAATTATTTTAAACCCACTCTCAAGCATTTACCTTCTTGTACAGCTCCACTTCATATGTGTCTGTAAACATTTATTTCTTCCTTTTTGTTTGTTTGTTTACCTGCATTTTCAGAAGGCAAAAAGAGCATATGTAGAAAATGGGGAAAGTAGTTTGCTCTGTGTTTTATAAGAAAAATCAGTTTTTATTTAATTTAATGCAGGAGGCGGCTATAGCTAAGTGGTTAGAGCAGTCGTCCTCCAATGCAAGAGTTGTGGGTTCAAATCCACCAGCAGTCGCATGCCGAAGTGTCCTTGGGCAAGCCTCTGATGTGTCCCATCAGTGTATGAATGTGATAAAGCTCTGATTAGTCTCTTTAGAATGATTTATTCCATTAGCTTTATAGAGATCTAGTAGAGTGCTGTATGAACGGGTAAATGAGGCACAGCTTGTTGTGTAAAGCGCTTTGAGTATCTCGATAAGATAGAAAGGAGTTCTATAAGTACAGTCCATTTAACATGTCATGTATTCAAAGAAATATGAACAGGTGAAATAAATAATTTACTAGTTTAGCTTTTTCCTTCTGATGATAACATTGTCCCTAGCAGGCCGTAGACTCAGAATAGAGGAAGATTTAAAAAAATAAAAAAAAACATGTATGTAGAGTTGGCTGTTGTCAAAGGAGCACTCCACTCCCTGGTTTGTGTATGCACAAAGAACATCAAAGGCTCGTTTCAGATTCTCAAATGGATGATCTTAATGTGACACTAGCAAGGGCTTAAAGGCAAAAAGACAAAATAAATAAATAAATAAAATAAAATAAAACCCTGAGAAAGAAAAGAGGAAGGAGCTCCCTGAGCTGCCACCGTCAGCTTCTTAATCTTTTATTCCATTTTATTTATCTCTTTGACTCCTTAACATTTTACAGTAGTCCCTCGTTTACTGCGGGTGTTAGGTTCCAAACCCCCCCGCAATAAGTGAAAATCTGTGAAGTAGTGACGTTATATTTATTTTAGTATTTATATATATATTTTTTATGCTTTAGAAACCCTTCCCGTACTCTTGCAATGTTCTAAACTGTTAAACCTACTAATTTTAACAACATACTTATCTGTAGCTACTGAATTTTACTTACCAGGCTCTGCAGAACAGCAACGGGCGATTCGATTCTGGTCCGACCCGAGAGATTAAAAAGTCCTGGTGCGCTCCGGATGGAGCACTGGACCTACGCCGTTGTGGGCCGGCTTCCAGCTCTCAAGATTCACCAATGGGTCTGGAGGTCTGGTTCTGCTCCGGTTCTGCTCCGGTTCTGTGGGTTTTGTGTAGCTCTCTGCATCCGCTGTGCTCTGAAGTTACTGTAATAAGCATCAAAGTTTTCAGATAAAATCAAAAATGCCCCTCTTTTATTTCA